CATTGCTGTAGTTGTAGCTTTTTTTGTTTGCTGGACACCGTATCACATATTCAGCATCGTGGAGCTGTCAGCTCACCATGATGAAAACTTGCACGACTTACTGCAGGATGGCATTCCCCTCTCCACCAGCCTTGGTTTCATCAACAGTTGCCTCAATCCAATCCTTTACGTTCTGATTAGCAAAAAGTTCCAGGCTGAGGTCAAGACTACAGTCTCTGAGGTGCTGAAGTTGGCACTGTGGGAGGTGAGCCGCTCTGGAACTGTCAGTGAGCAGCTGTGGAGCTCGGACAACACCCATGCGCCTGTGCACTATTGTGAAACTGCTCAGTGACTGCTCCTGTCACCATCCCTCTCCAAAACAGCTGGCAGGAGATTTGGAGGTGTTCTTGACTTTGCATCTGTCAGTCAGATGTGCATCTTTGCATCTACAGTTGTATGTTAAACAGCTGGCTTCATTGCACTTGCTGCTCTCCTTGGAAAGGTTTTAAGGGACACATCTTTTGCGTGTGGTGGACTTGCAGTGCACACACAGCCTGAACTGAAAGTTGTCAGCATAAGTGGAATTGCTCCAACTGGATTTTTGATCAGGAATGCTGTTGTAATCCTGCTGTTGTGTTGTGGTTCTGTACCTCGTTGATATCAAAAGAGCACATAATAAAAATGTTCCTCCTTGCAATCACTGATGACACTCTTGATCAAGCATTCTCATCCAAGAGGGCATGGCCATACATCAACGGCTCGAGTCTCTTGATTATCTAGTATTGCCTTAAGTAGGAATCACCTGGCTACATCCCAGCTGAGCAAAGCTGCTGGTGGCTTCACTCCACAGTTGGAGAAGAATCCTGAGACAGGGAATAAAATCTGTTTTCTCCCAGCACTCTTTATCTTATACTGTAAGACAGGAGATTCTGTGTTTTCTGGTCACTTGTACTTTTAGGGCCAGTTGTATGCAAAATAGCAAGCAGATATTTCACCTGGGTTTTAGGATCATTTGAAATGTGCAAAGAATTAGTGGAAATGTTTCTTAGAGAAGCTGAGGTTGAAGATCCTGTGCCACACTTGTTCTTTTCCTCTTTAAACTTTCAGGCTCAAAGAGAGTTACAACTATCTGTTGTTCTTTATTGCTCTGTCAAACAAAGGTAGAGAAATAATACAACATTTTGTTTGCCTTAATGCCAATTTTCAAAAAATGGGCAGAGTTAATTCAACAATATTCTGTAACAAGTCTGTAGCCAAATTTAGACTTCTTTACCAAATAAGAAGCAAGATGGTACACCCAGGAAATGGAGTCCACTTTCTTAAGAAAGATTAGAGAGTCCTGGCTACACTGTGCTCTGCTCCAACTTGTTGCTTGCTGTAGAATCACACATGCACCAATGCAAATATATATGCTAAGTGGAATGGACCAATTCCTGATGCAATACCACTTAATTAAAAAGTTGAATGTGGGATAAAACTCCACTAAGAGTAAAAACATAAATGTTTGGATGAATTGAAACTGTTTATGCCTTGTTGGAAAAAAGGAAAGGAATTGTTATTGACCTGGGTACATAGAATAAAACTGCCTTTCAGATAATCTACCTACTTTCTATGGCCTGCCAACACACGTAAGTAGCATTTATACTGTAACTGAGGCCTTATATGTAAATATATTTGCTTTTGTATAAAATATATACATCTGCATGCATGAGCACATCCAGTACTGATAGCTGTACAAATACAAATAGTCTGACTGCGGTCTGAAACTGTTTCTTTGAACTCTGGTTTCAGAGTTTGGGAGTCAGGCAGGATCAGTGGAATTTCAGTGTATTCCACTTTGGGCTGGAAAGCTGGTAAGCAGCACTGTTCCATTGAGTCATTTGCTGCTTGGTACATATTGACTCATCACAGTATTTGGCACTGTGCTGCTGAATGTGCCAGAATCAAACATTTCGTGGTTTTCCTTCACATGCAGTAGTACCACTCTCCTGACTGTACTCCAAGTGAAGTAATAAAATGTTGTTCCCAAAGAGTGTGGTTATTTGCTTTTCTCAGCAGCAGTATGCAGTGACTGCCCGTTAGAACAGCTCCTTCCTAAAGACCCTTTCCTGACCATTTCTACTACAGGAATAAGGTTTATGTTAGCTTTCGTCCTGCGTGGCAGCTATGTGAGCACACATACTGCTATACAGTAAGGAGATTGATTTTCAAATGGGGGAACATACTTATGCTGTCTTACATAATTTATCAGAAAGCTTCCTCTGAGGTAGAAAACAGAGAGAGAGAACAGAATTGAATATGGCCAAAGTCAGCCCTGGTCTATGGAGTTAAGTGGATTAATAATTTTGCAATATAATTACTACCTTATTCACACCAAGATCAGCTACAGAATTGTCTCCAAATGTTTTCTGCAAGAGTAATGGAAGACACCTCAACAAAACTGACAATGCTCTAAGTTTCTGTTTCCAAAGAAAATCCAAAATAATACCAACAGTTCTCTGCTGCTTGGACTAAGGAACGCTCATTCAGCCCAACACAATGGAAAAAAACAGCCAGAAGAAGGGGATCTATCTTACTGTGCTATAAGATACTGTAGAAAAAACACTTCATAGGAAACAGCTCTGTGATCAACCATTCATTCAAGAATAATAGCTATTGGCATGCTTCATAATAGACAGATTCTGGTTACTTACTCTTATCTGCTTCCTGAGCAGTTTGTACTTCTGAAGGTTGTTGTGTAGATCAGTTTGTAACCATTACTTTTGTTGAAGCTGTTTTCCCAGTATTCCTGTATATCACGTATTTAAATTACAGAACTTTCTGTTAAGACATTTGGGATAGAAGTGTCTCATTTACTCTAAGATGCTGATTTTTCACAGGCACAATGACACAGTAACGTACCAGCACATTTCTAAATACTACACAAAACCCCCTAACATAAAGATATGTTGATTCCATGGAGTTCTCTTGCCCACATGCCTATCTCTTTTTCAGCTAGAGACTGGGCTCTCTAGCTTTTGTTTTGTTCCTGTGCAGCAAGTTTCCTTCTAAGATCAAGGAAAAGAAACCCACAAAAGAAATCCCAACAACTGAAGAGTTTGTACATGCACGCTTCGCCTAAATGAAACACACACACAGAGAAATCCAGCCTGGCAGGTCAGACAGATGGCTCACAGGGCTGTATTGAAGCAAAGTTAGCCTATAAACCAAACTATTTTATCTACCTAGAACTTTAATTTCAAGGTCAAGGAAAGAGTTTAAAGGTAAGAAACATGTTGAATGGGAGGTTGGAAAGAGT